TGCAGGAAGGATACAAGCTTACCTTGTGAGGTCTGGTGAAGAATATACCTATCCAGATATACATGGGAAGTAGACTCAACCAGGCTGGAACCAGAGCAACTTCATCATTACGAAATTTATACCTTAACAAGAAATTGACACCCACCTGCAAAACAATAAAAATGTAAACCATGATGGAGCCAGAACTGATTTTGTATGGACCTAGAATCAATACAACATGATTTATCAAGAAGTAGCTGATTTCATTGTACATTGACACATATACATATATCATATGATCTAACCTACTCACAGTCAGAGGCAGTGCTAGCAGTGCCATAATGAAGGCTATATTGAAATTCAAAACACCATTGAGGAAATAATAAGACCATGGCTCCACCCCTGTGTAGAAAAAACAACAAAATGTAGAATGCAACTATGAAATAAAATGCAGTTTTCACATCAATGCTATAATAACTGACTAACAAGAGGACCTGAGTATTTTGTCAAACGAAGGCAAATGTATTCATTGCTCTCCTTGCTGTTATATCATACTTGTCAGAATTAGTGACCATGCTCAACTTAGTTCTATATTCGGGGTCACGTTTCAACTAAGTGCCTATCCCTTACAAAATGCCCTAAATTTTGTTTTGTTTCACTTTTCCAACTACCAGTAATCAAATTTTTATAATACAGCATGGATATTAACTGCCATGAATAAAGTGGATGCGTAAATTATCTTTTGACAATGGCCTGTTCACAACTATGAAAAGCCGGTAAATACTTCCACATTCAGTTTACCTTTCAAAAATCATGTCATGTTTTCACCAAAATCAATTTCAACAGATTGTACTTTGACATCTGGTCAAAGGATATTGCTACAGGTCATATCGTGCGAAAATTGCTTTCCATTGATAGTGTGGGTACAAACACATTCAACAAAAAATATGATAAGATTTTAACTTTGACTTTTTTTCCACAGAACCTAATAATTTGATAAGTAATGATAATACAAAATTTGCTGTGACCATTCTTACTGCTTCCTTGTAAAAGTGTTGTGAAAATAAATTATAACACAACTAATTTTGCAATTTTATTTTCCCCTAAGGAAAACGATATTCCCCTTAAGGTAGCGAAACTATTATTTGCATACTTGTTTTCATCTTCTAATTGTGACTAAATGACTACAAAAAGATCCAGGAAAGTAACATATTTTTGGAATCGCCAGACTTCAAACTTTTCAAAAGTTTGTTTTTCATGCCCATATCTGCATTCCACGACGCGTTACTCAATCAAAGGTAAAAAATTACTTTTTCTGTAAAAAAAATAATTACGCATTTATGCTGGTAATAAAAAGTTATATTTCACTTTTCCTAGTTGTTCAATAGTCTGGTAAATTGAATGTGTCTTGTCAGTTTTATTCAAGCAATGCGTTTTAAAAATAGTGTGCTGAATTTCAATTACTGTTTTAGTCGCATTTCCCCCAACTCAAACCACAACACGTTGGTAAAATAATCCACGAAATAGTTTGTCTGGACACATTCAAGTTCCTCTCATTGTCACCTTAAAGCTGTGAAAATTTGGTGATAATCCAACGACAATAAGTATACGTTATTTTTTGTTAAAGACCTTGTATTTTGAAAAAAATAAACTCCTAGAAAATGTCCATGAAGTCACAGCAAAGATTGTCAAGCTTGTTTATCGGCACAATCGATTTGTTTTCCCTACAAGGTCTGTTTTATTAACATGTGTAGGGACATCCAAATGTGTAAGGCTATTGGAAACCAAAAAAATAAAGGAATGGGATAGCTATAACTCGATAAAATCGGCAGATGAGAACACCAAAATCAATGATTTTTTCCAGTGGCTGTGTGACCTTGTGTCTGACACATTCATATGCAAATGACTAATTTGTGAAACAAACAGGGGCAGAGATAAACCACTCAAGTGTTTGGAAACACCCATGAGTTGTGTTCACGTTACACGAAGTACGGGCTAAGATTTAAGCTGATTTAGGCTTATCTAGCATATTTGCATTTCGGCTAGACCCAATTGCGTCCACGCACAGGAAGGGTCAGTCGTTAGCACGGGCTAAGTGGCGCCATCAGCTATTTACGAACGAAAAATTGATGACACATGCGAGGTTCTATTTCTGCTGCTAACATGTTTCGTTCTAATTTTGAAGCAACGTGCACAGGAACGCGAGAGAAGACGGACCCAACTTATTTGGATGCACAGAAACAGTATACAATGGCTTAACAGAATACAGAGTTTTATTAATGCATGTCGTAAACAGCGAATCAAATTTATGTTGTCTGACAATTGGAGCTGCTGTACGCTCTACTACAGCGACCCGATCAGTGTGGAAGCGTGTACACTGAGCTCGGTTGCCATTTTGGGAATGAGAAAGTTGGATATATTTGATCACGTGCATAATGTTCACACCCAAAGGTCGCCGCACAGGACGCTTAGCCCTGGGCTAAGCGTTCGCGCACACTTCGTTAGCCCGTGCTAAGGGTATAGACTGCGTTTTAAATTCGGATCAGATTTAACCCGTACTTAGCATTCCTTAGCCCGTGCTAAGCGTTCACGCACAGCTCCTTAGCACGGGCTA